ACCAAGGAATACGCTCTTAAAGCAGGAGGTTTGTTAAACATGTTTACGGTAGTTAGGTAGGACTGTCAAAAGCTGCCTCATATGAGGCATATGCCTCATATGAGGCGCGCGGTAGAATAGACACTAGATATTCAATATATTATCTCGAAGGGGTTGCCGATCTTTTTTGTTTTACACACAAACGACAAACGACAGAGAGCAAAAGACAAACATGAGCTGTCGCAACCCGTTGAATCGCTCCTTTAACATGGCAGCAAAACCAAGTTTTGCACTTTCTTCACCCCTGTAATTCCCACTTCGACGCAGCGTTTCGAACAAGGATGCCATCAAGAGGGCACTTGCCATTGTTGCTGACGACGGCGATGGCACAAACCATGACGAACCCGACGTCACCAACAGTCTTTCCTCTTCCAATAATCTTGGTGGTAATGAAAAAAGGACCAAGTAGTAATCATGCAATCATGCAATCATGCAAACGTTGAAAACCCACCAGCCGATTATTGACTGATTGATTCATTGATTCATTCAGAACTGCCATCGCGACATACAAGGTGTCTGGTTGGTCTTCTTGGATCTGATATCAGCATCTCTAACTATGAATGGTATATAATAATAAGACAATATGGAACGCTTCACGCATTATGTGCATAGCAATTGTAATTTAGGAACTTCTTGCCTTTGAAACTTTGCCTTTGAAATCGAATCAGAACACCGTCCTTTGCAACCTACCTTCTTTGAGGAACTTGCTTCTTCCTCCTGCCTTGTTGAAATCATGAGCACGCCGTCTTCAGCAATTGCCTCTTGCCTTTTGCAACTTTCTCCTGTTATCTTTGCACCGAAAAGAACCGTGATTCCGAATAGAAACGATACTTATTACTAGCGGTAACATAAAAAAGAAGTCAAATGAAATTGAGCTAATAATTAATCCTACTTTCCAGCAGGAGGGGCTGATTGTTTGGCAAAGGAGCAGTGCCGTCACAGATCCAAAGAATGAATCATAATCATCAGTCAAGGTGCGATTGACGATGGATTTTTTTAGTGAATGCCAATAGAAGGGGGTTTTTACGGACTGGGCGGATACCGCACCATGAATTCCCTATTTTGAATTTTGGTGAAGATCGCAAAGGACTTTCTATTTGACACCAGCTGGCTGAGTGTGACTAGCCGGTCTACTCGTTGGTTGGCGCCTGACCAGAAGTGTTCGTTTGAGCCTGAAAGTGATACGGTACCACCTGTTACTGGGGACCGGTACTTTCGTATTTCCATTTTCAATTTGATCCCGAAAAAAGCAACTGTACTACGAATCTTCGTACCACGTACGTGTGCGATAATTGAAAAATATGTAACGAACAGCCAAGACAGACCGCGGGGTTATTGTTTGCCAGTGGCAATGACTGTTTCGCCAAGATGAAACGCAACGGGAAGCACTTCACACTCCTCGTCGGTCACACGGGGATATTCTTACTATGTATAGTTGAATTTTCTCTCTTGTCAGAACATACAAATTCGTACGATTCCAGCTATAACCACAATAACACACCAGAGACAAACAGTATAAAAGCAAACAAGCAAGAAGAAGATGACCTGCCGTAACCCGTTCAATGGCTCCTTAACCGCAACAGCACACCCGCGCAAGTACAAACTTCCACCATCATTGCCTCCATCGTTGTCCTATCTTCGATGCGCTTCGAACAAAACGAGTGCGATCAGCAGGGCACTTGCCATTGTTGCTGACGACAAGAATGGTGTAAAAGATGACGACGACACTCCTACCGGTACCAACGGTCGTCCCTCTTCCAAGAATCTTGGTGGTGGTGAAAGGAGGGCCAAGTAATATGAGCATGTACCAATTAGGGTGCAAATAATTTGAAGGCCAGTTGACGACTTAGCTACGGTATTGATTGACTCATTTAGAACTGCCATCGCGATACAAGGTGTATGCCTAGCCTTCTTAACTCTGATATTAGCATCTCTAACTATGACTAGGAAATATGGAGGAATGCTTCATGCATGATTTGCCGCAGCAAATGTAATTTAGGAATTCTTTGTCTTTGATAGGAACTTTCTTCTTGCCCTTTGTTGCGTTGGCCCAAATCGTGTAACTCGTTGTGGATTTGCTCCCAAGTCCAATTGTACTGCTGGTATTGTTGCCGTCTCTGCTGGTGCTGCAGCCGTTGGAATCGGTCCTGGTTCTGGTGCTGTTGTGTTTGCGTCATTGGTGTGAGTTGTTGGTGCTTGTGTAATATCATTGTCATGGACCGTTTCCAATAGAATTTCCTGTGTCAATCGTAGTGTGTTGGTTTTCTTGATTCCCTTCCAATCTCCGTAGCTCTTGTTCAACCATGACACATCTCGACTTGAACTGATTCGCTTTGTCTTTGGATCATAGAATTTGTAAGTGTCTCCGCTGGAGTTATCTGCGTATCCAACAAACATAACTGTTCTTCCACGGTCTTTCAGTTTACCCTTGATCTTTGTGTGTACCTTGATCACTGCCATTTCACCAAACGTTCTCAAATGTCTCGCAAATCTAGCTTCTCGTTTCCAGAATTTTTGATGTGAACTTTGTTCACCACGTTGATAGACAAGTGCTGTGTCCAATTTTGTCGCTGTATCTGCCGCTTCTGCCCATAGATTGCCACGCATCGTTTCTGTCATCCGAGCAGTGTTCATCATTGCTCGAACTCGTCCGAAAGCCGTTGCGAACTTCCTTTCGACTCGTCCATTTCGCTGTGGTGTATTGGGCGCTGTGAATTCAAAGGTCAAACCGAGTCCTTCATTCTTTGCTTCATCTTGGAACTTCATGTTCTCTCCAGCTCTGTCACATCGAATCTTTTTGACTTTGAATCCTTTCGCATTTAGGTCCTTCACCAAAGCTATCATCTTAGCACTCGTTTCGCTTTTCTTCTTTAGGAACATTGAAAATATGAAATCGGATGCGTTGTCCATCACTTGGAGCCAAAATTTATTTCCACCCGCGCTTTTCTTCTTTACACTGGATATATCAATCATTAGTTCTTCCCCTGGGACTTCGGATCTGTCAACTGGCTCCTTCGAGATGTTTGCTTGTCTCGACTTTGCCAATGCACAGTTCTCACACTTTTCCAATTTCGATTGTAGTTTCAAGTTGTATGCATGTGCTGTATTGCGAAGTATTGCTTCTCCTGGGTGTCCGTACATCTCATGGAACTTTGCTATGCTGATTTCCCTTCCTGCTTCCAATACGGCGTATGCACCTTCTGCTGTCATCTGTTCCATTTCTGCTGCCATGATGAATCCAGAACTCGTTGGGAATATTCTGTCAAATCCAATAGTTGTCGATCCATGCGTCACTGTGATGATTCGCCCTTGGTTCCCGAGGTCGAAGCCCTTGTCCATTGCGGCCGTAAGACTGAAAAGATTGCACCACAGCTCAGGTACGAACTTGACTTTCGTTAGTACCATCATGATTACCTTTCCATTCGTTTGCTTCACTCGCAGCTTGAGCTTGCCAATCTTAGTTGCCACGATAGTTTTGCCACTTCCAACTTTGATCTCCTCTCGAATAACATCGTAGTTGTACAGGTTGGTGTCATCATTGCACATATGTGTACTCGCTGCACTGTCTCCAAACCAAGTCTGTGGTGTCAGTTTCATCTCCTCGGATTTCCATTTCTCCATGTTGGCCATTGCGATTCCGATTAGGGTCGACTTGATTTCATCTTGGATGCTTGTTTCAGTCTGCACTGTTGACTCATCATCCCCATCATCGTCATAGTAGTATGGCTCATCGTCGGTATGAGTCAAGTCGTCATCGTCATCATCGCTATCGTCATCATCACTATTGTCATCATCGCTATCGTCATCATCGCTATCATGTTGTTGTCGTGAAATCAATTGTGGGATCTCGTCATACATCGAGTCGTCATCAGAGATATTGTCGTGTCTGCCAACCAATCATACCTCATCATGTCCATGGACAATACCATGTCTGCTGACCAAAGGTGGTGGAATGTCATCATCGTCAGAGTCGTCTGAGTCTGAGTTGTATTCGTGCATTCCGTTATTATGGTCCCATTCGTCTGATGCGTAGTGCTTAGCCTTCATCGTCCGTTCCACTAGTTGTGGGATCTCGTCCCCATCTGAATCGTATGTACCAGATCCGTCAACATCAGAATAGCGTTTGATCTCAATCTCTTCTGTGACAAAAGCGTATTCACTTGTAGGCTTTGTCGCGTGGAATGTCTCGTCGTTTTTCGCGTCGCAATCATTTTGTCCGAAGTTCGCCATAAAATTATCAAAGAAATCATCGTGAAGGAAATTTCCGTGCTCGTGAACTTTGTCGTTTGGATCTTCCACGATAGTATGCACGATCACTTCATCATCTACTTCTTCATCTTCACAATCACTCTCTTCGCATTCTTCATTCCACTCGAACCAAAAGTTCTTTTTCTGTGTTGGCTCCGCTGGGGCAATAAGTGTCTCTGTTGCCATCAGCATTACCTCAGCAACATCGTCGTCATCATCATCGTTGTTGTTGCTGTTGTTGTTGTTACCATTGTTGCCAGTGGTGCCGTTGTTTCGGTTCTCTGGGTTTCTTCTGCATTCATGCTTCTTGTGGCCTCTGATACCACAGTGGAAACAGGTTCCAAGGAAAGCTCCTCGTCCACCTCCATTGTATCGATGTCTGCCACCGTTGTTCTGCTTCCTTTCGCCTCCTTGTCGTGTCGCTTGTGTTAGTTCAGGGCAAGTTAGCTTCTTGTGTCCATACTTTCCACAGTTGTTGCAGTTGCCTTTGAATTGACCAGTTACCAAAGCGACATCTTTGTCTTCTTTGTCTTCGTCGTCGTCATCACCTTCTGTTGCATTGGCGAAGTCCTCGTGTGCAGAATTCAGTTCTTCCTTGATGTACTTAATGGTGAGTGTGTTCGCTTTCATCATTTTCTCGAAGTCCTTTTGCTCTTGTCTGTACTTCAAAGGCAAACTTCCAATGATGTGAATGAATTGGTCCTCTTCACTTACTGGGTGCTTCATCTCTTCCAAACGGACACAAATCTTGCTGAGTTCGGTGATCCACGAAGCTGGATTAGCAAACTTCTCAAGGTGACACTTGTTTAGCTTGCTCTTCATCTTGATGTACGAGGTGATCGTCTTTGGCTCATACTCATCCTTCAACTTGTCCCATGCTTCTTTCGCGTTTCCTTTTGGGTAGTTGACTTTGTCTCTGCTTCCGGCTACCAAATTGAAAGCAACCTTTCCTTCTGCCGTGTCAGTATTCATGCTGATCATCGAGTCACTGAAGGCTTTGATGTTCATCTCGCTGATCTCCTCGTCTTCCTTAATCTTTGCTGCGTCAGTTTCAGCATCCATCTCTGGTTTGGTTCGTAGAGTCACTTCTCCAGTGATCACTCCGTCGAATCTTTTGACGCTAGCTCTTGCTACGTACTTCAATCCAAAGGTATTGTAGTCTTCAGGTTCTCCACTGAATTGGAATCGTGGAGTTCTCTCTTTGTATTCACTCATCTTGCTCTCTTTTTCGTTCTTTTCTCTCTTATCTTTTCTCTTTCGCTCTCTCTTGACAATTGCGATATCTCGGTCGTTATCGATTTCAGCTCTCTCTTCTAGCTTACGATAAGACACCTCTTTCTCTCATTGTTCTTACTAATAATCAAACTTCTCTTGGAATTCAGATCTGACGTTTCGAAACGTGTTGGAATCTCCCTAGAAGTAAAATCTATTGGTCTTGCAATTGTGAGCTAAATTATTCCTTACTCTATTTTCTAGTCTTGCTTCTCAGTCATGCACAGCATCTGGTATCTTGCCATGACTACATTCAGCTCACTTCTCCTTATGTATTTATCTTGCTTTGATCTTGTCAATACTTCTCACATTATTGTCAGGCACTGTTCAATCTTACACAAGATGACCCATTCTCTAATGCCTCGTTTCGTGTTTCTGCTCCTCATTCTCCAATCTCCAAATATCACAAAATACATCTTCAACATATTCCAACTACAGTACATACAGCCAGGTATGGTAGCACACGATCGATCTCGCAAGCTCTATATTGTGGTTCGAATCCAATATTGTTGAATAAAATACTAGAACTCTAATATTTTATCTCTAGAACTATATAAGCATGAAGAGGATGATATGTATTCATTGATTCCATTCATTCAACCGTTGCATATTACAATGCATGTGCATCAGCTCAAACAAACAACACCCATGCCCTATCAAGCCCAAAAACTCCTTTCTAATGACGGGAAAGAAAACAATTGAGCGACTGCATCAGTGATGGAAGCGCAAAGAATGAATGAAAGAATATCAATCAATCAATCAATCAATCAATCAATCAATCAATCAATCAATCAATCAATCAATCAATCAATCAATCAATCAATCAATCAATCATTCTTGTTCTAGGCCTCGGCCAAAACCGCACCAGCTTTGGCTACAGGATTCTCGACGGTGGTAGCAGAGGGAGCAAGGCTCTTATCAGCCTCTTTTTTGGCAATCGCATCCGCTGCTTCCTCGGCTTCCTTGGCAGTGGTGGTGGTGGTGGTGGTGGGATCCAAGTTTGCAGCATGAACAGCAGCGTCCTTTCCTTCTGCCATCATGGTAGTAGTATCCATAGAGTCGTCCTTGGAGGTGACAACTGGTGGAGCATTGTCCTTTTCCAGAGCAGCAGCAGCAGCAGCGTCCTTTCCAGCATCAGCCATGGGTTCGTTGGTAGCAACGGATGGAGCGTCATCCTTTTCCGGAGCAGCAGCAGCAGCAACAACAACAACGTCCTTTCCATCCACCATGGTAGCATCAGTAGGATCGTTGGTTGGAACGTTGTCCTTGGGAGTAGCAGCGTCCCTTCCATCCACGGTAGCAGCATCTGTTGTTGGATCAGTAGCAGCAATAAGAGACGACTCTTCCTCGTTCTTCTTGGCAGCATCATCAATGGATGGTTCTTCGTCCTTCTTTTCTTCTTCTTCTTCTTCATCATCCTGAGAGTTTTTCTCTTCCTTGTTGGGCGAGAGACGCTTGGGAGATCGTTGGTCATCGTTCATCTTGTCGACAGCAGCTTCATCGGCATCCCGCTTCTTGGTTGGAGAAGTATTAGAAGAAGAAGAACGAGAAGAACGAGAACAATCAGCAACAACGGCCATTTCCGCATTGTCATTGGCCTTGTTGTCGCTGGACAACAATGACTCGGAGGATTGTAGCCGCTCCAATACGGCAAATGACGATGGTGATGCTGCTGCTGCTGCTGTCGCCGAGCTGGTGTTATACGGCTCCAAAGCCTTGAGGGCGTCCTTGAGGGAAGGTTTGTCTTGAGAAAGAAAGGTCTTGGCTGCAGCAATGACGGCTTGAATATCTTTGGCGAGATCCTTCAAGTCGTCCTTCAATTGCTGCTCCAGGCGCAGGTCCGACAACAATGTTGTTTCCAACAGCGGGATGCTGTCGAGGGCTGGCTGAAGCTTGGCGAGTGCTGTTTTGGCGGAAGTCTCATCGTCATCGTCACCGCTACCAGCATGAGCAGCAAGATAGGCAACGGTGTCAAGCATGGAGGCTTTGATCTTGTCAAATGAAGCAATGACAGGAGACAAGTTTGGGTTGCTCTTGGCGTCGTTGTTGGCTTTGTTGGCTTTGTTGGCGTTGTCGGTAGTCATGTTGATGATGCTTGAATGCTTGAATGCTTATTGAATGAATGAACGAACGAACGAATGAATCACTTGGGAGCTTGAAAGTCCGATTTCGTCTCTGAACGAAAATTATGAGAGGAAAACATACCGTAGTCCAAGCAAGATTGGCAGAAAGTAAAAGGCCAATCTTACCACCGACTAATTCAATCCACCAGATGTCGATGTGCGGTGATGATGTGTCATCATCATAATATGATCTCTCAAAAACTAGCGCGACGTCTGACCGGCTCACGGAAATACATTGACTCGGGTGAGTCAATTAACGTATAATATAATTTAGTCACTTTCAACTTGCGTAGTATAGTTGGTGCCTATATTCAATATAGGGTCGCTACAACCACACAAACCTTGTCCTTGTGAAACAGTGGGTACAAGAAATGGGGCAGCTTCGATGTATAATCTACCAGTTCTAACCTAATGAAGAATCTTGCCATGTTCTATATCATATCGGGTTGTCCTTCTTGGTTGGGGTGTCTTGCTCGCTCGTGGGTACACTAGGTACTAGTAGTACTAGGAGTATCATAGTCGTGCGCCGCCCGTCCCGACGGAAGAGGAGCAAGGTCAATATGATGATGACTGACCTCTTTCGAATAGCGCTTGATATATATAGAAGAAACTCATTTCAGTTCAATACGTCTTTTCTAATCCAACATTTATATATTCGTGGCAAGCACTTCATCGTCTTGCGGCGGTGTTGTAATCATGGAAGAAAATAGTAATGTCTTGCCAAGCAGCCACAAGCAATATATGCCAGGTATGGTCACACACCCAAGAAGTTTTAATGTCGTCTACTAACTATATACCTGCTAATAACATTCGAGTGTGTACACTTTGTTGTTTGGAACCATTCTTGAATAAAATACTACAGTCATATAATGGTTTATCTATACTACTAGAATCAAGCATGATGATCCCATTCATTCAGTCAGTCATTCCATCGTTTCATACTGCATATAGTGTCATCCCGACGACCGAGCATACCCATGCTCTATCAATATATTAGACCAAATGACTTATTTGCAATGACGGGCGGGGAGAACACAGTGATGGAGCGACTCATGCTGTACGCTGTCCGCCCAAGACGGAGAGAAACTTTTTTTCCTGACCACTTTCATCTTGGTGGTGGTGGTGGTGGTGGTGGTGGAGGAGAGAGCAAGGCCCTTAGTAGCATCGACAATATCGTCTTCATCGTCAGATTTAGATTGAGATGCTTCTTTCCTTCCACCTCGGCAGTTTCTGCTACTATTGTTGGATTAGAAGAAAGAGAAGCAGCAGCAGTAGCAGATGGCTCTTCCTTCTTCTTTTCTTCTTCTTTTCCTCCTCCTTGTTGGGTGTAAGACGCTTGAGAGATATTTGGTCATCATTCTTGTCGACAGTAGCTGGGTTGGTACAGTACGTTTCTTGGTTGGAGAAGGAGAGGAAGAAGAAGAAGCGACCTTCCTTTGTGGAGAAACTTTCCCCATTGTCATTGTTGCCCTTTGACGACAACGAGAACGATTGATTCCTCGGATACTACTAATAGAAGATGCCGCTCGTCCAATGCAGACAATGCCATGATGGAAAAACCCTTCAAGAGGGCATGACTGGCGTCCTTGATCGAAGGATTTTCATGAGAGAGATTGGATTTGGCTCGAACAACCTTGGTTCGAACAGACTTGGCTTCTCGTTGCAGATGTTATCGATACATAAGTTCCAGATGAGACAGAGTACGTTGCCATCCGCTGGATATGGCTCCACTGCTGGCTGAAGCTTATTTGTTGGCAAATGCTGCATGGGAAGAATAAGTCTCATCACCAGCGAGATACTAGGCGATGGTGTCAATAGCGGAAGCATTGACCTCGTCAAGAGAAGCCTTTGATAAGAAGAAACAAGGCAGGGTTGTTGGCGTTGTTGATAGTCATAATGATGATGATGTTGGTGGTGGTTGTGCTTGAAACATCTTTTGGATGCTTGCGTGAATGAATCAATTGGGAGCTTCTTCTTGAAGGTCCGATTTTGTCTCTGAACGATAATTATGAAAGGAAAACATTGTCCTGCAAGTTTGGAGTAAAAGGACCAATGATGTTACCGCCGACTAATTGAATCTATTAGATGATGTCGATGTGTCATTATCGCACTCTTGCAGTGCGATGGTACATCTGTGGTATACTCGCACCGGTACCGTATTTCGATCTCTGAAAACCAGCGCGACGTCTGGCCGGCTAACGGAGATATTGACTCGGGTAAGTCAAAATCTGGTGACTACAGGCTACTGCCCTTACCGTACGTGTACTGTACGTGTACTGTACGTGGACGTGGACGTGGACTGGCATTAAAATTCTATGAGGTCCCAATTTTTGGTCCCGATTTTTGGAGAAGATCTCAACGGACTTTCTTTACTTGACACCAGCTGGCTGAGTTCGATGAGCCGGTCTCGTTTGTTTGCGCCTGACCAGAAGCCTGAAAAGTGATAATTTGATCCCGAAAAAAGCAACTGTATAGCACATTATTGATTCGATAGATTTCCAGAAAACCAGACCGCTGGAGTATTGTTGGCCAGTTGTGGCATTATGACTGTTTCGGCAAGATGGGACGAAACGCGAAGCACTCATCGTCCTAGGTCACACGTATAGGTTGACTTCTCCAATGATCAAATGCAAAAATTCGTATGGTTCCAGCTCACCACAATAACAAACGACAAACAGTAGAAGAGCAAGAAAAAGATGACCTGCCGTAACCCGTTCGATGGCTCCTCAACTGCAGCACACCCGCGCAAGTACAAACTTCCACCATTCTTGCCACCATCTTGTTTGTCTCTTCGAGGCGCTTCGAACAAAACGAGTGCGATCAGCAGAGCCCTTGCCATTGTTGCTGACGACAACAATGGTGTAAAAAATGACGACGGCACTCCTACCAACGGTCGTCCCTCTTCCAATAATCTTGGCGGTGGTGAAAGAAGGGCCAAGTAATGCCCTGAGCAGCATGCACCAATTAGAATGCAAACATTTTGAAGGTTAGTCGACTGATCTATTGATTGATTCATTCAGAACTGCCATCGCGATATACAAGGTGTCTGGTTGATCTTCTTGGATCTGATATTAGCATCTCTAACTATGACTAGTATATAATAATAAGACAATATGGAACGCTTCACGCATTTTATGTGCACAGCAATTGTATTTTAGGAACCTTTGAAACTGTTTGCCTTTGAAATCGAATCAGAACACCGTCCTTTACAACCTGTCTTCTTTGAGGAACTTGCTTCTTCCTCCTGCCTTGTTGAAATCATGAGCACGCCGTCTTCAGCAATTGCCTCTTGCCTTTTGCAACTTTCTCCTGTTGTCTTCCACCGAAAAGAACCGTGGTTCCGAATAGAAACGATGTTTATTATTATACTAGCGGTAACATAAAAAAGAAGTCAAATGAAATTGAGCTAATAATTAATCCTACTTTGCAGCAGGAGGGGCTGATTGTTTGGCAAAGGAGCAGTGCCGTCACAGATCCAAAGAATGAATCATAATCATGAGTCAAGGTGCGATTGATTTTTTTAGTGAATGCCAATAAAGTGGGTTTTCACGGACTGGGCGGATACCACCATGAATTCGCAAAGGACTTTCTATTTGACACCAGCTGGCTGAGTGTGATTCGCCGGTCTACTCGTTGGTTGGCGCCTGACCAGAAGTGTTCGTTTGAGCCTGAAAGTGATACCACGAATCTTCGTACCACGTACGTGTACGATAATTGAAAAATATGTAACGAACAGCCAAGACAGACCGCGGGGTTATTGTTTGCCAGTGGCAATGACTATTTCGCCAAGATGAAACGGAACGGGAATAGTAGCACTTCACACTCCTCGTTGGTCACACGGGGTTATTCTTACTGTGGTTGAATTTTCTCTCTTCTCAGAACATACAAATTCGTACGATTCCAGCTATAACCACAATAACACACCAGAGACAAACAGTATAAGAGCAAACAAGCAAGAAGAAAGATGACCTGCCGTAACCCGTTCAATGGCTCCTTAACCGCAACATCACACCCGCGCAAGTACAAACTTCCACCATCATTGCCTCCATCGTTGTCCTATCTTCGATGCGCTTCGAACAAAACGAGTGCGATCAGCAGGGCACTTGCCATTGTTGCTGACGACAAGAATGGTGTAAAAGATGACGACGACACTCCTACCGGTACCAACGGTCGTCCCTCTTCCAAGAATCCTGGTGGTGGTGGAAGAAGGGCCAAGTAGTAACGAGCATGCAATGAGCGAGGATGCAAAACATTTTAAAGGCCAGTTGACTGATCTATTGATTCATTCCTTCAGGACTGGCATTGTGATGCAAGATGTTTGGTTGGTCTTCTTGGATCTGATATTAGCATCTTTAACTATGACTAGCATAATAATAAGACAATATGGAACGCTTCACGCATTATGTGCATAGCAACTATAATTTAGGAACTTTTTGCGTTGGAAGTCGAATCGGAACATCGTCTTTGGCAATCTACTTTCTCTGAGGAACTTGCTTCTTCCCTCTGCCTTCTTGTAATCATTAGCACGCCGTCCTCAGCAATTGCCTCTCGGCTTTTGCAACTTTCTCCTGTTATCTTCGCACCGAAAAGAACCGAGATTCCGAATAGATACGATATTCTTTATTAATATTACTAGCGGTAACATAAAAAAGAAGTCAAATGAAATTGAGCTGATTGAAATTCTTCCGCAGGGAAGGTCTTTGGATTGGCGTTGCTTCTGCTTGATACAAGTTTCTCATGCAAATCTTCTATACCGCTCTTTCTACAGCACTATATGACAGATCGAATGAATTGTGGTTTCACTTGTGAAGTCGATCATCTTTCAATTCTCCTCTCACAATCATGATTCAAGATTTTTCCACGCAAAGAGGCAGACTTCCAAAAATCAAGTCCCAACCATTCCTGTGGTATCTGATCTATCATGATCGCATGCTGCAGAAGATCTACATTTGCGTCTGTTTGGCGTTCAATTCTGCCTTCTTCTAACCGATATTTTTTATCATTCATTCTACTGAAAGTAATAGTATTGGGACGCCAACAACTTATCCCTGAACCAAATTCTCTACGTTAGTAACAAGACCCCGCCGAACCAAGCAATCGGTTGCGATAATATACAACAGAGCTACGTTTGCGACTATATCTGCCTCCAAAATTAGCGAAGTTTTGACCGAGATTTCGTCGTTCTACTGTTGGCAAGCTATGACATTGCGACGACTATACACAACAACTAACCAAATTCTCTACATCTCGAGCGAGGCATATATATCTTTCTCAGTGAAAGGAGCAGACAACCTAATTGAGAATGTCAACAACTCACATTACGGGGAGAAGAAGATTGGACCCTGTGTTCAGTGTAATCATTGAGACGGTAATATAGCTGCCTATAACCTACATTGTCTTTTGATTATTACAATCAGCATAAACAAAGGCAAAGATAGAGGCCAATAAGTTTCATGATTGATTTGAAAATTCAGCATTTACCATTCTCGCAACATCAAATCGTCGTATATAGTAGCCTTTGCGCCCGAAACTCGTCAATAATCGTGAGGCATTGTAAAGAAATCATCCATGTCTATTCCAGTAGACAACTTCACTCGTTTCCTCCATTGACCGGGCTCATGGACCTGGGACTCGCCTTCACCAAAACCCTCATTAACCTCCTCATCCTTTCCTCCTTTGCAGATTTCACGAATAAGATCTGCAGTCGACTTATTGGTAGCTTCTTTAGTAGTAGCTTTGGCAGGCGAATGATACGTCCCGATTGTATCATCCGAATCATGACTGCGTTGTGAACATAGTCCAGTATTTTCCGACTCGACGGCCTTTTCTGCCTTCTTGCAATTGTTGTCATTATTGTTGTTGCCGTTGGACGACGACGACGACAACAACAATGATAACTCGGATTCTAGCTTCTCAAAGGCAGCTACGTTCCTGGCGGGACACAGTCCTCAAGAGTATGGAGGGCGCGCTTCAAGGAAGGTTTTTTCTCGAGAGAGGTAGAGCTCGGCTGTAGCAATGAAGGCTGCAACGGATATGGCGACATTTTCCAATTCGTTCTCCAAGCGCGGAACTTCGTCTAAAGCTGCCTGAAGCTTGGTGAGCGCTGTCTGGGCAACAACAGAAGTTTCGTCATCATCATTATAATCATCGCCACTACCAGCATGAGCAGCAAGATAGGCAATGGTGTCAAGAACAGATAATTTGATCTTGTCAAACGAAGCAATGAAAAAAGACAAGCTTGTGTTGCTGGCGGGGTCGGCGGCCTTTGCGTTGTTGGCGTTGTCGGTAGTCATGTTGATGATGCTTGATGCTTGAATGCTTGAATGCTTGAATGCTTATTGAATGAACGAATGAACGAATGAACGAATGAATCACTTGGGAGCTTGAAAGTCCGATTTCGTCTCTGAACGAAAATTATGAGAGGAAAACATACCGTAGTCCAAGCAAGATTGGCAGAAAGTAAAAGGCCAATCTTACCACCGACTAATTGAATCTATGTCTCGACCGTGAACTATGCAATGCGATGATGGATGAGGCATCGCAAAAAAACCACAGAGCGATCGGATGAGTCAAATTATCGTGGCGCAATCAAACGTTTTAAACGCATCGCTTCCAACTCCTACAAATATGGCGCAAAATTTGATACGACACTCAACGGACCATCTGTGTCGTAGGATACCGTACAAATCTCCAATTTCGAGCACGCACGCAAGGTGCACCAACTTGTGGCGTCGTTCACATAATTTTCTCCTCCTCTCATCGGGTATCCAACAACAACAACGGCACTTGTGTGGTTTTCGCACGCGTCCAACAACAATCTTGTGTCATACAATGGAGCAACAACCACAACCACAAATGGAAGACTGTCGAGACTTTCCTGTCATGGATCACAGTGATGACATGTCAGAGGTAACTTTGTCGACGATTGGATCCTCCAAAAGTGACAAGAAGAAGAAGAACCCGGTCAGCGAATCACGAAAATGGGGTCTGCTGTGGAAGACCAAGTCACCATTGCAAACGGCCAAGAAATTGAAAAAGACCATGAAAAAGAAGATTATTCGCAAGGACTCTCGTGACGAACAGTCCCCTGAAATGATGGACACTACTATTGCTACTTCTACAATTGTAGAGGAAAACTCCAAAAGTTGGGGGGTCCATTTTCTTAGCACCAAAAGCAAGTCTAACAAATCCTCCTTCTTTGAAGGAGTATTGGAAGAAGAAGACGATGGCGAGGTCCCAGACGATGAAGTCCCAGGCCGACACCACCACCATTTGGAAACGAGCGAGGAAGAAGAAATTACTCGCAGTTTGCAAGAATTGAATGAGAAATTCCGAAACCAAGAAAAGGTGGACGAGTATCACCTCTGCCGCTTGGAACTTCAAGAAAAGAATCTAAATGGACGTACCTTGAGTGCTGAAGAAGTATACGAGCTTAGCTTGCTGGAACGACATGCCTCTGGCGAAAAGTTGTATGCCGAAGTCAATGATCTGGATGACTTTGTCGAGAAGCGCATGCTGTACAAGAGACTCCAAATTGATTTGGCCGACATGCGATCCCAGCAACTCAAGGGAGAGCAGATAGATGAAGATCTCTTATTTGTATTGGAGCTCTTTGAAAAACGACGCACTGGTCAACCATTGTTTACCATGGAGAAGCTTGCTCTTGATTTGCTCACACGGGATCGGCTGGGAGACACCCTCACGGATGCCGAAATGGACGAACTCATTGATATTATGGACCTGCTCAGAGACAAAAAGAACTCTGCAGTCACTGTTTCGACTACTACTCCAGAGACAAACGCAACTCCATCAGGATCCAACTCATCGTTAATGATTGAGGTCGATGGGGCAGAACTGGAAGACAGCGATGCCACTCCTGGTTTGGATCCATGGAGCAATGGTGCATCTGACGACGAAGTCAGAAACGATGTGGATAAGGAACACACTGCTGTAACTGCTGCTGGGGGAGAAGGTGGATGGCTGACGTATTGGCGTTCCAACCACGAGCAACAAGACGCGGAAAAAACGAGAGACAAGATTCAAAAAGAACTTCTTGATAAGGCAATATTGAAAGCAGAGCTCTTAATGGAGATCGACAACTTGAAAACAGATCTCAAAAAGGCAAATGCTTCTGTCTTGGAACTTGGTGGTGAGGCTGATGAGACGACAAAAGTCATTCTGAATGAGGGGGGTCTGCCTGATGAGTCCATGCCGGAGCAACCCAGTCTCATTTCGAGCGAGTCCTTGCAACTGGTAAGGTCGGAATGCGAGGAGCTCGTGGACCTCAATGAAGACAAGGAAAGCAAGATTGCGTCTTTGGAAGCACAAGTACGAGAATTACGAGCCAAGACGGTGACAAGTGCCAGGAAGGGGGGTTCCAAATGGGGAAAGAAAGTAGAAGACCAAGATTCTGAAACCATTTCTCAGCTTTCAGCCGAGTGTGCTCAATTGAAGGAGCAACTAAAGGAAGTCAACAAGAAGTACGAAGAGTCTCGTGAATCGCATGAAAATACATGTGCCCGACTCGAAGAACTACAGGATGAACTCGACCAGTGCAGTGAAGACCTCCAAGCAGCCAGGGACGAACTTAAGATCCGTGAAAAGGAAATTCAGACTGCCGCCTTTGAGTTTTCAGCTCTCAACGTCAGATACAAAGCTGCTTCCAGTAAGATTGAACGCTTGGAAGAGGAATATCCTGAATCTATCAAGGAACGAGTTGAGGAGCTTCTCGAAGAAGCTGGAAAGACAGGTGGAGTCGACATCTTGGTCGATTGCTACGAGTCTGCAGTTGCTACCATTGGAGCCCTCGAAGAGAAGTTGGAATCCGCAGAGGAAAAGACTTCCAACTCCGAGAAGCTACAAACGGAATACAATCGCGCCGTGCAAATGTCCAAGGAGCTGGAGAAGGATGTGGAACGTCTTCAATCCAAGCTGAAGGGTGCTCAATCTGAATACTCAAAAGCACAAGAAGAAAAGTTCCGTGTCTCGGATGAAATCGAGGAAGTGAGATTAAAGATGGAAGATCTTGAAGTGAAATTGATGTCTGCTGAAAAGGAGGCTGCTGCTGCCAACAAACGACAAGCTGAGTATTCCGAATCAGTGGAAAACAACAAAAAGCTCGAGCGTGACATGGCAGAGCTTCAAATCAAACTGGAAGCCGCCCATTTGGAAGTAACCACTGCCCATGACGAGAAGCAACGTGTCACGAACGAAATTGAAGCAGTGATAATGAAAATGAAAGACCTCGAGGCAAAGTTGAAAGGTGCCGAAGGCGAAGTTGCCGCCGCCAACGAGTGTCAAGCTGACTTTGACGATGCTGTGGCAATGTGCAAAAAGTTGGAGAAGGAATCAGAAGAGCTTCAATGCAAGTTGAAAGCCGTTGAATTGGAAGCCGCAAAGGCAACCGAAGAGAAGAATCGTGCTTACGAAGCAATTGCGGAAGCTAAATTGCAAATCACAGATGTTGGCGCAAAGTTGAGAGCCACCGAAGAAGAAAACGCTGCAGTCGCCAACAAGAAACAAGCTGATTATGAAAATGCTATAGAACTGAGCAAGTTGCTGGAGGAAAATGCAAAAGAGCTGCAGTCCAAGTTGGCAACTGCCGAATCTGAAGCCTCGGATGCCAAGAGGGAGCGAGAAAATGTCCTTGTACAAATAGCCACAATGAGAGTGCAAATGAGATCTTTGGAGGCAAAATTAGAATCTGCCGAAGAAGAGGCCGCCACTGCCAATGAAAAACAAGCCGAGTATGACGCGGCTGTGAAAATGTGCAAGAAGCTGGAAGATGACGTTGGAGATCTGCAATCCAAGTTGGAGGCCGCCGAGGCAAAAGTTACCAAAGCGACGGAAGAGATGAAGATTATCTCTGAACAAGCTGCTACTGAAACAAAATTGAAAATGGCAGAGCACGAGAAGAAGATCAATGCTTTGGCCCAACAAGTTCAGTATCTCGAGGGCGAGAACTTCAAGTTGTTGGAGGAAAATGTGGAACTGAAAGAACTCTGTGAAGAGATGATCGCTGGTATTGGCGATGACGCTTTGGACTGTTAGATTTTTTACTCTTTGTATTATCTCCAAACGCAGGGAACCATTCGTATAGAATCATTCATTCATAGAACCATAATGAAATCATCATAAGGACACAATCATTAGACGGGGCATCAGAATCTCTTAGATTCATTCGAAATTCGTTGAATTCCTTTTCCCATTCAGTTTGAGCATACAGGAAAGTCCTCGTCTTGCTTTTTTTGGTTTTTTCGCGTCCAATGCTCGAATTGGAGTTTCATGTTGTGGTATGTTTTGCTATACTCCCAAAACACCATTCTCAACATCAGCTTAAAACTGACACATTTGTGCTATCAGATCCAGCCCCGAAGTGCATCCCGCCGTCACTCGATCGTTTCTGTGATAAAATTCCGATGGTAGCCCCCTTTTTATAGCACAATCTGGACATATCCATTGCATCAATCCAGTTGATGATTGCACAATGAAGAGATGATCCCCTCGAGACCATTGGTGAAACCCGCATTGCTCACAGGGCTTTGTTTTACGTTCTACTACTTTTTGCAGGACTGGAGCTCCCATGACAGAAACAATGTTTCCCTCACTGTCTCGAAGAAACTTTCCCATGTTGCTCAAGTAGTGACAATTGTGTTCAGGTGTTGAAGCAAGAATGTGATGTCAACAATAATAATAATGTCACAGCATTCACTTCATAATTTTTTTGGTTTTCAAATTTCGTTCACTGAAAATTTCTTTCAAAATCTGTTTGGCGCATGTCACATGCATGCGCACGCGCAATTTCCGTTGGTGCAGCTAGTGGCACGTGTCAACTGCGAGTATGCGTTGAATTGAGATTTCCACCACATTTTCCACCACAACATACCAAAATCCAATATAGAACGACGGCCATGGCGCCAACAACGATAGCCATCAACCAGGAGGTGGCACCGGAGGTGTCACCCATGCGGGAACCTGAGTTTGGTGAACAGAACAGAGAGCTATATGAAAAGTATTGCAACCAAGAGAAAAGCATTCAGACCCTGAGATCCAAATACATGGAAGCCAAGGGGCGGTTGGATCGAATGCGCACAGAAGGGTCTGCCCAAAAGAAGATGATTCTTGACATTAGCGATATTGTTGAAGCATTGCGAAGCATTTCTGTCGACAGTGTTGGAGCGGGTAACGATGGAAACGCTGAAAACGTGGAAAACGGAGACTTGGATCAAATCGCAAAGAAGATCCAAGCGATTGACAAGCAGTTGAAGACTTCCATGCTTCACACTGTTCAGTTGGACGAGCTCAAAAAGATTGCCAACTCTACCATTTCTGACCAGGAAGCACAGATCAAGGCTTTGGAGGACCAAGTGGATCTCATGGAAGCTCGACTGCGACATTCTCAGACTCACAAGGAGATTATGCTTCCTGACACTTCCTACGAAGCTCAACTTTCATCGATGCAGAGTACTATCACCAACCTTAAATCGAAGATTAAGGGATACGAACTTGAAAGAGACCATAATGGAATTTCTGGAAACAAACCACAGATCATTGATCTCACTGGTGCAGAAGAAAACAGCGATCCACCAGGTTCGGCCACTGCTTCCTGCACCACGGAAGAGGGAGCTTCTCACCCCTCCGATCCCACCACATTGGCAGATGACTACCGTGCGGCCAAGGACCGTGTAGAAGAATTGGAATCCACCAACAAGAAAATGAATGAAGATCTCCAAGAATCCATCACCAAAATGTCAGAGGTGACGGAATCAGCTACTGCCCTGCAAATCGACCTCCTTGCCATGGAAGAGAATCTCATCGAGGTGAAGGACGAAAACGAGCGCCTTCTGAGAGAGAAGCAAAATTTCGAGCTGAAGATGGAAAAGCTTGAAGCAGAAGTTGAGCAAGCTAATGCTGTGAAGAAAGACTTCGAAGAGCTTGAACGAACAGTAATTGCAAAGGTTGAGGAACTCGAGCATGATAACTCTCTCTTGAAAGAAGGCCAAGAAAACTCTATCACCAAGATTGCGGATCTTGCTGCTGCTTTGGAAGAAACGGAGAATGCCAAAGCCAAGCTTCAGGAGGAGAACAACAAACTCCAGCTTGAGAACTCTGAAAATGCCAAGCTGTTGGAACAACTTTCCAATGAAAGATCCGAGGGCGAACAGTCGAAGCAAGATTATGAAGAGCTCGAGCGTACAGTCATTGCTCGCGTGGAAGAACTGGAGAAAGAAAACAAGGCTTTGAAGGAAGAGAACGAAAATCTTCAATCGACTCCTTGTTCAATTGAGACCGCTGCGGTAGAAGAAGACGACGAAGAGAAAGAACGCCTTGTGTCGACTTCTCGTTCACTTGAAACCCCCAAGGTGGAAGAAGAAGAGAAATCTGCTTCTCGTTTCATTGATATCCCCGAGGTAGAAGAAGCCAAAGAGAAAGAAAATATTCCATCGACTTCTCGTTCAATTGAGACCCCCAAGGTAGAGAACGATAGTGACGAGGCCAAGCAACAAGAGGCCCAGCAGGACGATATTCAAGAGAAGCTCGCTCATATCGAGAAGTTGGAGCAACAGAATACAGACTACATGGACGATGTCAGAGTTCTTGCTGAGGAGAATTCCGGTCTGAAGGTAGAAGCCAGAGAGCTGGAAGAGAAGAATGGTCTATTGAACAACCTCGTCAAGGAGCTGCAAGATGAAATTATTGAAGTGAAGGACAATGCTCGTAACCTTGAGCATGAAATATCTGAAGTTCGCGAAGTCGCTAAGGATCTCGAAAGGAAGTACTCTGAAGCAAAGACGACTGCAGAGGAAACACAACTGGACCTTGACAAGGCTAAGGAAACAGCCGCTTCGCAAGAAGAGCTAAAGGACGAAATCAAGAAGAGCAAGGAGACTATTGAGGCCCTCAAGAACAAGTCTGCGGAGACAATGTCTAGTTTCCAAGACCTCGAAGAAGAGAACAAACGACTTTCTGCTGCGATGAACGATCTCGCGGAAGAGAATGATCGCTTGGCCTATGCTCAAGAGGAACAAAATCGAGCCTCTGTTGTCGTGAATCGCCCTTGGGAGAAGAAAGAGCCTACCAAGACCCAGAAACTGGCTATGGAAGCTGAAAACGAGAAGTTGAGAGACGAAAACAATGAGAATCTTGTCCGAATTGCAACCTTGACAAACTCATTGGACGATAAGGAATCGCAGATCATTGAGTTGCAAGAAACACTTGATCTAATGAACTCCTTGGAAGAAGAAAACAAGAAGTTGCAGGACCAACAAGACGACAAGTCAAGGTCGGACGACAGTACCAGACTTCGAGACCTCGAAGCTGAGAATAAGAGAATGAAGGAAACCATGCTCCCTGAAGAAGAAGCGCAAAAGCTCCGCAAGGACTATCAAGACATGCAAAACAAGCTCAAGGCTGTCAGCAAGAACCTTGTGTATCTCCAAGCACAACATGCTAAACTCTTGGACGACGGTACCTCCTCCCATGGTGCATCTTCGGCTGTTTCCACAAATGGCTCGCAGCACAGTGCAAAAGATATGCGTGCCTTTGACAAGATCAAGAGCCTTCACCAAGCGGTTGCCATGAAACTTGCAGACTTTGGTGAAGAGAATGCTACTTTGAGGGAACAATTGGACGCAGCTCACGTCAAGATATCCAAGCAACAAGAAACCGTCACCGTCCTTCAAACCATCAAGGAAGACTATGCGAAGCTAATGGACGAATACCATCGCACCGTGAGTCAGCTAAATGCCAAGGAAAACAGCATGGTTTCGCTAATGAGACTCCAACAAGAGCACGCGGATGCACATGCCAAGATCACCGTCCTTCAATGGGAGAACGATGACTTATCCCGCTCCAGAGAAATGTACAACAACGCGGAAGCTCGAATCGCAACCCTTGAGAGACAAGTAATGGAAGAGAATGAGAACCTGAGCGAAGAGAAATCGAAGAGCGCGGAATACCTCAGTGACACAAAGGAAGTCATTGCTGCGTACAAGGAACTCGAAGCGGAGCATCAAGAAGTTTCAGAGAAGGTGCAGATGCTTCAAGCACTCATGGAGGGCGAGGAGAGCGCCGAGGGTCAAGGCACTCAAAGTAATAGTAGCAGCAGTACTCAAACTGTGGAAAAGCAACGAAATGCTGCCTGGAAACAAGTCCGAGCATTGGAAGAGCAAGTTTCCTCGGAACGCAAAAAGGCAGCTACCGCCACCGAGGCTCGCATCGCTCGTGAGGGCGATTTGAAACTCGTTTTGGGTGAATACGAATCGATTCAATTGCAGTATGAAAATGTCATCAAGCGCGTGGAAAACCTCAAGGGTAAGAACAGTGAGCTCAAGGCCAAGAACCGCGATCTCAAGGCGAAGAATCACCATTTGGCCAAACGTCAACGTGACACATTGGTCATCCCCGAAGAAAAGCCCTTTGAGATTATTGTGGTCGATGACGATGATGGAGAACAACACGAGGGTGCAGCAAGAACAATGGAACAAAAGATGATCCAAGCCCAACAAGAGGATGACGATGACGATGATGATAACAGTAGTAGTAGTAGTACTGCTCCTGCTCGTGGAATTAGCAACGAATTGGTGGCCCTCTGGAGGAACTTTGGCATCAAGAAAACAAAGAAGCAGCAACAGCAGCAGCAACAATCCGGCAACCGTGCCGCCGGAAGCAACAAGCTACCAATGACAACAACAACAACAACAGCAGCAGCAGCAGATAATAATGGTGGTGGTGATGACCAACAATCCGTAATTTCCCGAATATCAACTCATTTGGAGATGCGCCAAGAGGCAGCGGAAAGCGAACACCTTCAAAAGTTGGAAGAGCGACACGACCAAGCCATGGCCAAGTTGGAACGCATGGAATCTCAATTGCTACTCGCGCAACGAGAAGCCGAGGATGCTCACAAAACCCAAGTCTCCAAGGAAGTCAAGCTTCGTGACATTTCCGCCAAGCTGTTCAAGTTGGAACGGGAACATCAAGATTTGCAAAGCACCGTTCAGAGTCTTCGATCCCAATTGTCCACCGCCAACAAGGAATCTCGCTCCATGGAAGTAGAAGTGAAGGGAATGCGAAAGCGTTTGGACGATCGCAACCTGGAATACAAGGACCTGCAAGTAAAGCACAATGCCTTTTGCAAAAAGTTCAGTGACGCAGATGTCTCCAAGATGGAAGAGATGGTAAAGGAGAATGAGAATCTGAATGCCTGTTGCAAGGAGTATTTGACTTCAGTGGCGGAAATCAAGGAAGACGACAAACCACCCAAGAAGAAGACTTTGGCCGAACTTCCATAGTTAGTTAGTGCTTGTGATGGCCAGCCAAATGAAACCATCATCAGTAGGCCTTGTGTTGTAACGTAGTAGATGCATAATTTGAGAAAGTAAATAACTAGTAAGAAAAGCTGAGTCGTATATGTGAAGTCTTGAAAGTAAGGAAGTACCTACAGTGTCACTCAACAGAAGATGAAGGCTGACTCATCAACATAAAAGCCTAATAATATCATGGCATGATTGATCCATAATGCATTCGTTTCGACCGAGTGTGAAACGCAAGCCGACAATCGTTCAGGGCGATGGTGAAAATATAATGGTAACAAGTTGTTTATAATGGTGGTGGTGGTGGTGTATGTTCATGTGTGTATGTTCATATGTGGGTGGGTGGGGGTATACGGCATGGACTTGGAAAAGGCATTGTCAATGAATCTATCATTCTTTGGTCAAGACAGTTCAGATCATATTCCGCGATTGAATCGTTGATGAATTGATTCATTCATTTATTCCATGCTGATATCCTACTGTATGTTCAGGCCATCCCATTTATTCGTATTAACTCGAAGGCGAAGACGAAGAAGAAGACGACGATGATTCCCCGACGGTCATTGGATCCGACACAAAGCGACTGGTATAGGTTCCATCAAAATCAATTCGACATTGATCATTTTCTCCAAAAAAGTATCGATTGGAAGAGACGTATTTGTACAAGGCCTCTCGGATCCAATTGGGTGTGACCATTCCCATTTTACCCACCAATTTGAGACTGTCAGTATCCAATTGCAGACAGATTCTGGACACGGCATCGCTCGAAAAATAGGCCTTATTTTTGGTCACCAACACAATGTTGGCTTCCTTGGGATCCATTCCACTTCTCAACAATAACGATTGGGCCACTTTACTTTGTAGAGAGGTAAATCGCAGTTTGGCATCTTCGTCGTGGTCAATGGCAAAGTTGACGCCGCCATTGCAAAGGTTGCAGACGCCATCAAATAACACAATGGGCCTCGAATCCTCCTGAAAGACGTCCTTGGCGACGGCGGCCCAGTCCCAATCGACAATGGCGGCGTCAGCTTTGGAACTAGAATTACTTTTACTTTTAGTTTTGGACTTGGAAGCAGTCGATGCCGATGAACCTGAGCCTGACCCTGATCCAGACAGGGAGGACATGTCGGGACTCGCCACATTCAATGATAGAGTCGAATGCTGCTGCTGCTGCTGCCGTCTAGCCGAGATTAGAGTATGGCTGCTGCTGCTGCTGCTGCTGCTGGTGGTTGTCCAAGCATTGGTAGTCGATAGTTGAAAGGATGCGAGAATGCAAGCGCACAGGATCAAAGTGGAAACATGGGAAATGCCGGTCATATTTTCTGAACAAAAAGGGTGGTCGTGAAATTTCCGTCGAATGAATGAATGAATGAAGAATCGAATCAATCAGTCTGAAGTGATGACAAAGGTGGTTGTGTGGAGTTTTGTATTTTTGAAGTAACTGTTGTGCTATCGCTGTGTAGTTGAAGAGTTCAATCTTCTTGCAGCAACAACAACAACAACAACAACAAGGATGTGTTGCTTCTGGCATTTCTTGCCTGATCGGCGTTTTCTTCCCCAGAATTCCTGAATGGCTCACGGCTCGCAGGCCGGTGACGTGTCCACCCGAAAATTTCGTATTGGTTGAAGTTGGAAGCTTTGCTTGCGCGCCTGCCGCGACAGAAGTCGAAGGATTCGATCTTGAATTCGATTGATGATCGATCTTGATTCGAATCGAATCAATCGATCGATCAAATAATAAATAACATTTTAACAGAACATCCGCCAGTCACGGCGAAATGGAAGGTGGAGAAATGGTGAAAACACCAACTTTCGACCTTAGCCCATTTTTAATATATGACCATTTTCATCATAACAACCAATCAGACGTCTTCCT